CATATATTTCCTCTAAAAGTCACAGAGCATTTCTTAAAAATCTCACTTTTAGAACACCCCATAAAACAACCTGGCTTTAGTGATCCCCTAATCTCCAGGAATCTATCCTAAGAGAAAAAAGCAACTATCCAATTTAAAGTTCACTCATTAGGTAAATTATTTCATCAACATGAATGTTCACCACCTTTTGCACAAGGTGTTAAAAAATAAAAATGCTGAAAAGTTATTAGAAAATTACAACTGAAGAAAACACGAACTACAACTCGTCCTGCTGAAACTGAAGCATTTTTATAAAATTTCACGCACAGGTGCCACAATTTAGATTGCCATAAAATAAATATTTTGCCTTTCTCTACAACTCCATGAAGAAGCTAACGAGGACAGATGAGAACTTGACTTAATGACTGCTGATCAACAATATTTGGCTTTGAATCTGGTTAGTACCCATTTAATGCAAGAAAATGAGGACACATTAACAAAACTGTCCCAAAAGTGGAAAAAAAATGAAGCAGCAGAAGAACTTAAGAACCCATAACAAAAGTAAAATCAAAGCAGTGTTCTGTCTCTCTTGGGCTAAGTCCTAGAAAATATCAACTTGGTAGAGTTGGGAATTAAAGCAAACAACCTAATTTTCTCATAATGTCATTCTGGAACAACCACTATGAATTTGGCTAAACTGTTCTTTTTTCTTTTATTTTTTTGGGGGGGGAAGATTAGCAGTGAGCTAACTACTGTTGATCCTCCTCTTTTTGCTGAGGAAGACTGGCCCTGAGCTAACATCCGTGCCATCTTCCTCTACTTTATATGTGGGCCACCTACCACAGCATGGCTTTTTGCCAAGCAGTGCCAAGTCCGCACCCGGGATCTGAACCGGCGAACCTGGGGCTGCCGAGAACGTGCAAACTTAACCGCTGTGCCACCGGGCGGGCCCCTACACTATTATTGATGGGGCATATAACTATCCCTTGAGGTTTATTACAGACATTTGCGGGGGGGGGGGGGTTGTGGAGGGAGGGGATAATGACTTCCATGGAGTATATCTCACTGTGCAAAACAATATATTACTCAATGTTTTAAAACTGTATCTTCAGACTTAAGTGAAATGACTCCTAATTCTAGTGCTCAAGGATTTAGTCATTGTGATACCGTATACATAAGATATATGATATAATATAATGCCAGTTAATGCAAAGTGATATAAAGAAAAATAAAACAAGCTAAGTGGATAGTGAATGACAAAGGGTGTTACTCTAGAAAGGATGGCAAAGAAGAACCCATTTGGTGATGGTATTTTAACAAAGACCTAAACCATACACATATCTGGAGGAAGAGTATTCCAGGCAGATGGAATAGAGCAAGTCCCGTGGATCAGGCAAGTGTATGGCAAGTTCAAGCAACAGCAAGAAGCACAACTCTGGAGAAGAGCTGAAGGTGGAGGTGGGGGGATACCGGAAATGAAAGCAGAGAGGTTGTCAGATTCCGTATCCTGAGGGTGCTTGTAGATCACGTGAGTGTTTAGGGTTTTTTTTTTTAAATGTGAAGGAAGCTATTTTTAGCCTGAGAGCAGGACAAGCCATTAAGTCTTTCAATAAATGCTTACATAAGTGCAAAGAATGGTTACTCTACAGGAAAAAGAAAACAAAGACTATGGTCCTAAGTGTCATGTAGAGAAACGGCTGTTGAAGAAGCAAGTGTCACTTCCAGGAAGAAAGACGCAAAATCCCAGTGCCCACCGGAGCCAGCAGTGACATTCCAAAACGCCCTCCATACACTGCATATGAATATAAATACAATTTAAAAATAATAGGACATAATTGTACAGAAACCAAAATATGACACATTTCCTTTTTATTTAAAATAGAGCTCTATATGCTTCACAGAAACAAGTGCAAGGAGTGCTTAATTTATTATATTTGCCACTTTACAAAACAATACATTTTCAGAAAATGCATACATAAAAATATAACATTTAGGCAGATACGTATTTACATCTAGAGGCAGCTGAAAGTTATGCAATAATATTAAAAAAGCTTTAAAATAAATACTTTTATGACTTGCTGTTGGTAAAGTTAAACATTTTGGTATGAAGGCTATCATTGAGTTCTTACTAAATTCTAAAATACTATTATTTCTAAACAAAATAAGTATATATATATATATATATATTACTATAAAATGCATATTTCCACAGACTAGAAATTAATGAAACATCTGAATATCATTCATTTCTCTTTGGATTTTGGAATTCTCTTCAGCTTCAACAACTAAATTACAACTACCAAAATTGCCATCTGCATATTTTTTGATACAATTTATTGCCCAATTCTTATTTTAAAACCTGATTTATTTCTTCATATTCCTTATATACATTCATTTGGGCCTGTCTCTTGAAAGGTAACCTCTTTTTACATACTTAAGAATATTAGCTAGCTTACAATAAGTCCTTACAACAGTGACTCTTTTCACAGTAGTTCAAGAGTTCAAGGCATGCTTTGCAATGTCAAAATGCAATGGTTTTGACATTTACAATATGTTCTTAGGTATAAGAAAAGTCACACTACCAAAAGAAAAGTATAATTAGTATTAGTACTTTGAAAGTCAATCCAAAATTCCTTTTTTTCTTTTGAGATTTGAATCTGATTTTCTGTTTTTAGGACATTTTAAAACCTGAAACACAGATTAAGTTTGAATAATTTTCTTTAGTCTAGGAGCAGAAGAGTATAAGAGCTCGACAGGAGTCATCGTGAAAATGAACTAGAATTTAATATTTTGGCTCAGATACCCTTGTTTTATATAAAGAGGAAAAAAAGAGTTCGATTTTTAGAATATTTAATTACTTGTATTCAGCCTATTGGAAGAAATAGACATATTGGTAAATCTCATTTTATGCCTGCATTAGTTAGACAGAACTTAGGGATGCAATTTCCTCCTTGCAGGCAAAGTCAATGAATAGGTTTGCACAGGAGATGAAAACTCAACTGAGATATCAAAATTAGAGTCCATATGTCTTGCTGCAGATTGGGTCAAAAAGTTAAACCAACAGGACAAACATGTAATTTCTTTTGATCTCTTGGGAATGCTAGGATGAAAATCTAAAGTATTTTTTTCTAATTTCTCTATTCAATCTGCAGATGTCAAGAACTATTTTGAAATTTTAACTCTCATTTTCGGAAGATATGTAAGCAGGGCCATTTCCTGAAGATATATAAGCACATAAGGTGCTTTTTGCAAAATATAAAAATATTTCTGAGTTGAGGAGCCAATTGCAGGTTGGATTTCAGCCCTACCTGCCCCTCAGCTGAGAGTACTTTCGTGCGGAGCACAACATGCACAGCTGGATGTGGTGACCCTCGGTATAGGCTAATTTCCTAATATATTCAGATTCTTAGGGCTGTGTTAACATTCAGGTTCACGTAGCCCAGGGTAAAAATCGTGCAGTTAAAACTGTTAGATCTGGAAAGAAAAAACTTCTTGTAGGAAAACATGAACAAATGATAAGAAAATATAGTCATATCTGAAAATATTAAAATCTAGGATGAGATAGAGCTCCTGTTCTCCCAAATGTTGTACTAACCTACAACTGAATTAAGAAGTATCCAGGCAGTTCTTAATAGAGAGATTTTAAAATAAGGATTATTACCTAACTTTGATATAATATTATCTTCCAAACCATATGATGTAACGGCTTAATTTAAAAAGATAGCCAAAGCACAACAAAGGAATAGTATGAAACAGCAAAAGTAAATTTAGCAATCACATTATGGGATACGTATTTCACATTCTCTGCCCAAGTCACCATCTCTTAAGTGGAATTTAGCATTAAGGCAAAAGTAGACATTTCTTATATGTTAGCTAAAAGCTAGAGTATAACTAGATTGCTAGTCTTTTTAAAATTTAAAAGAAAGTCTTCTCTGCCATTAATGAATATCCTCTTCATCGTGACAAGTGAAAAATTACTGGAGGAGGCATGAGACGAAATCTTTCATACAGGGGTATAGGAAATTGAAATCTTGTTAAGAAGTCCAGTGTGTAGCAATCTGAACAGGGGCAAGAATATTAGACAAACAGGAATTATAGACTGATTGTTGGAGTTGATGAAATCCTGCAAAAATTTTTTAATGTACTGAAAGAAAATGAATGCCAAAGATAAACTAATGAGAAACTAAGAAGAGTGAGAAGAAATAATATGCTACTAGACATGGTCCCAAATTCAACTACCAAATCACCTTTCACTCCCGTTCCAACGCATAAAGAGACAGAACAATTCCTACAGCTAAGAGGGGAAAAGAGTCATGAAGAGTCTCTTACCATTACTTGCACTAAGAAATTCTATGTTCTCACAATTCCTAAATTTTATTCAGCACTCCAATAGTTGCCTACCTAACTTGGCAAATATTTCACAATTCTTCGTGAGCCTATTTTAGTTTCTCTCACTGACCTCACCATGAGTGAACAAACTATTTTAGCAGAAATAAAAAGAGAAGTGGGATTTGATCATCACCATTAAACAGCACATTATGTTCGTGTACATTCAAAGCAGGTTACGATGTATGCTAATTATTTCTTAATTAGTAAACGTTGGATATGGGAGGGCACTGCGGTGGGTGTCACCATTCAGTGCTCCTGTCAGTTCTGCAAATAACTAGCAGTCATTTAATCTCTGATCCTTGGTTTCTTCATCTATAAAATATAGAAATTGAATTGTAAAGTCTCTTATATCCTTTACAATTTCCAAATTCTGGTTTTTGTTTCTGTGTGTGACACATCTGAAATAATCTAGACCACCAAGGGATTCTCTTTCATAGAAGGATAAACACTAGAATGATTAGGTTAAATAATAGCTGGTTATTCTCAAAATTAGAGACTAAAGATAATTTTAAAAGAGTGAGGGAATGTTTTAAAAGGAGGTAAGAGAAATAATGAAACATAAAAGAAAAGCTAGAGGAAAAAACAAAAGTCAAATATCAGAAAATTTGCATTAAAACACTTTGAAAAACTATATTATAGAAATTCTATTTAATATTAATATTTTTATGAAATTTTTATATTCCAACTGATTTTTTTTCTGTTTGGAAGAGGCCCTCAGGAGCAAAGAGATTACTGTCTTCACTAAATAGTACATAAAGTCCATGTAGGTAGAAGCTTGTGGAGGGACCTCAAACAAAGCATTGTCAAACAGAGAACAGTATGTTTCACAAAAGAAAAGATATTTAGAATATCTTCTAAAACCACAACGATACCATTTTAAGATACTAATTCCTAACCATTTCCAAGTAACTTAAAATTTTGTTTTTGTAAATTTATTTAACAAAATGATTACAGAAGACATCAATTGCCATCAGCTTTACTCATTTGCTACTGTTACTTTCTTAATTTCCCGATGGGAAATAAAATGTTCATATTTTAAATAAATTTATATAAACAAAATACATTTCCATATTTATCTTATAAGTAATCAAAAACTATTCTCTGCCAAGCAATTTTAAGTTGAATTTTGCGTAATGGCAAACGTGGGCTCCCTGCTTTCGTGTGATTTGCTAAGTAGGTTCCTTGGTACTCTTGCATAAACTCTAGATAGCCCTGAGTTTTCTCTGCCCCAGTAAGTCACATGGTGGCAAAATTCCAGCATAGTACAAGTAGTTTTGTTTTGTTTAATAATTCTACTAAAGTAGAAGTATTAAAAATAATAAATTATTATGGAACTTCTAACCTAATGAATATATTGTAGATTTTCATTTTAAAACAAAAGCTGATTTGGAAGTCTTCAGACACTGCGATTGGGTTACTATTTTCATACAATCATGGAAATTTAAAATGCAAAGTTAATTGAAAGTATAAAGATGAAAAACAAGTGCTACGCCTAAAATAGTGCACGACACAGTCATGTTTCACTTAACTTTCAAGTCAGAACATAAATTAAGAATTCTAGATGTGACATGCCAAATATTTTAGACATAGAAGAAAGCACACAACAGAATCTGTACCAATTACACACTTAAATGCATAGCTTATAAGGCAACAAGTTCATGCTGAAATATTGACAACAAACAATGTTTCCCTTATTTTAAGGAAGTGATGCTGCATACAAACTCCATCACCATTTTATACAGTACTGAAATTTCATAAATAGCATTTTCCCAAGCTTTATATTACACCCAAAGCCAAAATATGTGAAAGGAGCAAAGAACACTGACACTTTGAGCCTAGGAAGAGTATTTTTTGCTTATAACACAATTCAAAAGAAATAAATATTATACAATAAGACTCCATCAAAAACAAAGAATAAGAAGTTTGACAGCATAGGTATATACAGAAAATTTGACTTATGCTCTAAACTTTATCCTATTTTTCTAAGTGAGCCTTTTCTACTTATAATCATGTTGAGTGTCAAGGAAAAATTAGAACTTTTAAGTTTTCCTTGTCATTTCTGTTAACCTACCCATTTTCTTAAAAAATGTACGTGGTAATTGAAATATAAGACCATTCAGTTAGGAGTTATAGTTAACCAACACAAAAACAAGAAAAATATCTCAAAATGTACAGATTTCTCTAAAGTTAAAGTTGAACTAATAAAAATATGGAATTATATTCAGACACTTTCAAATAGATTACAAAACATTATGTCAAGGAAAATGTTAAAACATCCTCTCCTAAAAATTAAATAAGTATATTTACCCAACATAAATGAATAAAACAGGAAATATTATTCTTGTTTATTTGAAACTATAGTATGACCATAGTAAATAAATAATTTCATTCTCATATATGCAGAAACAATCTATGAGAAATCAAACTAACAAGCATAAGCAAGACTACCCCTTCACATAGCTCTTTTTAAAATCCCTCCACATATGCACTTTTAAAACTTATTATATAATTTAGATTGTCTGGAATAGCCAAATAAAGATATTTTCTAAATGTGATGCAAATTAAAAGTAATTTTCAAAACCCACTGTCATATAGAACTCAAGACATCCTACTTTGTATTATACCTATTTGCCAATTTACTTCCTTCCCCTACACACCCACATCCCTATTCCCATTCCCAAATTAGACTTTAAAATCCCTGAGGGCAGAACTTATCCAACTTTTCATCTCCCTATGGGACCCAACATTGTGGCAAGGAAGATATGGGGGCTCCATATTATTTAATGAATGGATAACTGCATGAATGGGAGCAAAAGTATACGCAAACCACAGGTGTCAGAGTTTTGCCTTCGATATCTCATACCAGTCAAATGAAGACAGGGTCAGTAACATATTTCCATAGCGAAATGAAGTGTGATCACTAGATTGTGCTCTACGTGAAAATACTAGGTATATCCTTTAGAATACTGTTACCCAAGTTGTGCTTTGTGGAACCCTAAAATTTGTGATAGCAAAAGGTTTCCCCTGCTCTTAACAAAAGGGTTCCATGGTCAAATAATGAGGAAGCCCAGTTTAAAGAAATTCAAGTAAATTTCTTTACTGCTAGACTCCTCAAAGCATATGATATGTGAAAGTGCAGTATCACTTTTCAAGAATCTATCAAAGAACGCTTTTGGTCTTCGTTCATCTCAGCAGAAGAGTGTTCTAAGGAATAGAGTTTAGGAAAGAACATTTTAGAATAATAAAAGATACCATGTTCAATCTCCTTCACCAAAGCTTTGAAGGAAATATTTAATGTTCCATGTATTATTCAGAACTTATCGCTGAATTTGTCCGTCTCCACAGGAAGTAGAATAAAAGCAAATGATCACGAGCTTTCTTCTGCGCCCACTAGCTCATTTTGAAAGGGGAGGGGGTTATCTCTCCACAGTTAACTGATACCTCTGTAGGGTTTAGTGGTTGTACGTCATTTAAGAGTTTTATCAGTTTTTCTCAAAATATCTCCTAGTTTCCTCTTTCTGTTCTTTTCTTTCTAAAAGTGTATGTGCAAAAGTAGTAGGGACCTCTGAAATGCATCTTAAAGACATCTTCTGACAATGGATCTTCATGCTTGATTAATCTCTGGAAGTATTCGAAAACAATATTCCTCTAGAGGGTGACTATGAAATTTCTGTGAGGAAAATCTCAATGGATATTGTCTTGAGAGTTCATGCAGGTCCATTATGATTCAGCAAAATAACTCAATTTGTCTTCTGTTTGACTAAACCACAAATACCATGATGAAAGTTGTTGTTTCTGCATAAGGAGAAAAGCACTATGGGAATTAAAGGGAAAGTAGGAAGCTAGCTAACTCCACAGTGTGGATTACCACAGGATTTGGACCTACTGCCGGCTCTACCATTAGCTATGTGACTTTGGAACATTTCTCAATGCCTTAAGATGTCAGGTATCTCATTTGTAAATGAGAGGAAGTAACAATTTTAGTGGCTTTCAAACTGTTTGCCTGAGAGGCTGCTGTGGTGGTGGATTATGAGGAGTAGGGACACAGGGGGAAGGGAGACCAAGTAAGTGACCTCTGACCTCACTTCTATCTTCCAACCAAGCAGCGCCATTTTTACTTGTTTTATATACTAAAGTTCAGAGCAATATTTATTTTTTTAAAGATTCTACTTAATTAAACGAAATAGAGAAAACCATAGATGGTATGATCTAAAGTTTTGTCTAGACATAACATGCTCTAGTTCACATTTTTAATGAATGTGTTTTTATCTCAGGAAAAAAATGTGTTTTTACCTTTTTGTTTCCTATTCATTCATATGCTCTTGATTCAAGTAAAATAAAACCTTAATAACTTTTATTATTTTTATATAGCTTATTTTACACTTTTATAATATCCTTCTTATTAAATAAAAAGATGAGTTAATGTATTGCTTTTCAAAATAAAATTAAAGACAACACAGAGAGTGGATGAAGTCAGCTCCTGCCCATGCTTGACTTGAGAGTTATTTTTTCATGCTGCCTTTGGGCACTTAAATACTGTACTGTATTATCTTTGAGGTAGAACAACAACAAAAAAGGCAAACATTCACATAAAGAGGGAAAATGAGAAAGAAAGCTGTGAGAGATTTCTTTTTTACACGATTGTCATTATTAGGCCTTGCAGTCTTCTTTGACACAAAGTTGAGAAATAGTCTTCTTAATACGGAGGGCGGTTAGGCGGGCTGCCCCATTGGCATACCAACACTCGCGCATTATTCTTCCCATGACTCGGAGTGCCTTTAAGAGAGAAAGAGATCAAAGATTTTAGCTACTCACACAAAACAGAGTTCAAGAGAAGCAAAACCGCAAACCCAGAAATTGATGCTAGGCTCTGATGAAGAAATAGTAAACTTAAAACAATATGAGAAGGAAATTAGGGCAAAACTCCATCAAAAATCCTGTCAAAACACATTTATTAATCTTATAGAGGCTAACTTTTAATTGAAAATTCAATCCATTGATTTCTGGGAATATGGTAGAATGGCTATCTTTTAAAATCTTCTAAGAAGGGACATGAAACACAAAAAGGGATATGAGTGGGTTGGAAATTCTCTGTATATCAACCTGGATGGTAAGTACACACTTGTATACATTGTATAAAAAATTCATCAGTCTGTCTACTAAAGTTTGTGAATTTTACCATATGTAAATTATGCCACAATAAAATAATGATCTAAGTATAAATATCAAAAATTCTGAATTAAAAAACATCAGTATAAGTGAACTGGTAAATAAATAAGATAAATACTCTGAGGAGAAAACAATGAGAATGCATAAGTCCACAGAGATATGAGAAATCGCTGAAGTTGAGAGGCCGCTCTGGTGGCATCACTGATCTCAGAGTCTAGAATTTCAGAAATGATGGACTACATGCGAAAGACAAGAAGCATAGCCCAAAGCACACAGAAGGTGTCAGATCAAGATGTTCACAAAGTCCTGAGTGTGAGGATGAAGTAGTCTTAGAAGGAACTTTGTAAAGAAAATTGTCTAAGTCTTGGCTCTTGGTAAAGAAAAAATCAAACCCAGGCCTGAAAATGTTGCAGTAAGTCTGAGCTCATAATGAAAATTCACAAGCACATGAGGAAATAAAGTATCATAAGCAAGAGTCAACTGAAACAACACAGTAAAATCAGACCCATCAAAACACAAGGTGCTAGAATTAAATGGTATAAAATATAAAATCAGTCTATAAAAATACATTTTTAAAAAGCGAAGTGGAAATTCAAAATATAAGTAAAAAAACAATATTTTTTAAAAAGTGCTAGTAAAGCTTCTTGACCTGAAAAATATAGCCATTAAAATAAAAAACTAAATGGATGAGTTACATGGCAGATTAGACACATCTAAAGACAGAACTAATGAAATGGAAGATAAATAGGAAAGATGATGCATAAAGACACAAACATGGAAAATAGGGGAGACTAAGAGACAAGAAAAGTAAAATGAAAGGTCTAACATGTCTGCAATGAGTTCTCTAAAAATGGGCAATAGAGACAATGAAAGGAGGAAGTATTTGAAGAGATAATGGCTCAGAATTTTCTAGAACTGAGAAAAGTCACAAATCTTCAGAATTAGAAAGTCCAAAAGTTCCAACCAAGATTAATCAAGAGACATCTACACCAAAACCTCATAGAGAAACTGCAAAATACTAACAACATAGGGAAATTCTTAAAGTAGTCAGAAAGGAAAGATAAATTAACTAAAAAGAAACAAATATTAGTTGACTTCTCAACAGTCAATAATGGAAGCCAGAAGACAGTGGAATAATACCATTAGGGTGTTTAGAGAAAATAACTGTGAACCTAAATTTGTGTGCCCAGATAAACTATTTGTTCAAGATTGAGGACAAAATAAAGACATTTTCAGATAGCCAAACACTGGAACAACTTACAACCACTAGATCCCCACTGGAAAACCAATTTAAATAAAATACATTTAAAAGATACATATCAGGAAGTCAGAAAATGATCTTAAAAGGAAGCTCTGAGAGCTAAAAAGGAATGTTGAACAAAGAAAATGATAAACATATTCATAAGTCTAAACAGACAGCGATGGTATAAAATCATACTAATATCTAATACATGGGATTAATACAAAACAAGATAGAATTAAAATACCGGGCAAAAATGGACAAAAATTGCATATATCAGCAATGTACAAAATTGATCACATAAAAATTGTTAGATCTATTTCAGGAACGCATGATTACTTTAACAGTGGAAAATCTATACATGCAATTCATCAGCTTGAGAGACTACAGCAGAAATGTCCTATCATCACCTCATAGAAAGGGAGAAAGCTTTATCAGAGTCAGCTTTTGTTTAATGTAATTAAAGTTCTTACAAACAAGACCTACAGCAAACATCATACTCAGAGATGAAACATACAAAACTTTCAGAAGCAAAACAAAGATAGTCAATATCACTACCTTCAGGCAACATTATACTGGGAGAGCTAGAAACTGCAATAAGAAAGAAAGAAAAGGCATGGGGACTGCTCCCAAAACTCTCATTATTTGCAGATATGATCATCTATGTGGACACCCCAAAAGATCTAAAGTTTTATGCCTTAAAGAAACTTTTCCATGCACACACATGTATAGCAGCATTGTTTTAAAACACTAAAAATCACACACATGACAGTCAACAGAGTAGAAAAAGAAATTGTATTATATCCATACAATGGAATACTACAAGAAACGAAAATGAACAGATACAGCTGTACATATACAAGGGAAAATGAAAATAATTTTAAGAAGAATATCAATAGTAGGTTTCCGTAATATGTTTCATGATATACAAAAGTAAGCAATATATTTTTCAGTATATATATATAGATGGCAAAATTCTAAAATTCTAAAGAAAAGCAAGGTAATAATAAATGATTAACTATAATAGTAACCTCTCACAGGGGTGAGGAATCTTCAAAGGTACTGGAAATGTTCTATTTTTAAAACTTGGGACTGAATTCACTGGCTTTCAATTTATTCTTATACTTTATATATTATACTTTAAACTTTACACATATGTTATTGTGTACTATATTATGTAATGTATATATAAATTGTTTTATATGCATGAAATTATTAATATTAGAAAAGAATTTAATTTAATTTCAATTTGGTTCTAAGTGCCTCAAATTCTGCTTCTAAAATAAGTATGTAGTTAAGATATCTATACAAAATAGGAATACCAAGAGATAAATAGAAAAAGAGTTGAGTGAAACACAAAGAAGGGGAAAAGGTGAAGAAAAAAAGTAACTGTATATAATAATCCCTATGACAAAATCAAACTAAAAATGTCACTTAAAAAAAGACCTCAAGCATTATATTTAACTATGGCAGAAGGTACAGAGTAATAACTGGGATGGAGGAGATTAAAGTAGTTCTGGACTTATTTAGATGGTTTATAGTCTTTCCCCCACCTTCCCTTCTTTCTTCTTGTGGGAGCTAGAAAAGTCTCTCTCTTCATGTAAGGGCAGAACAACCACTGCGATAATCATTTATGGTGTATCTACTATATGATGGTTACTACATGTGTCAATGGGGGTGAAGAAATAAACAACAGTGGGCCCTGCCATGAGGAAACTTCTCTGCTGTGAGAGAATAAGCTCAAACTTCAGCAAGTTAGGGAGTAGGAATAATTTATTGACTATAAGGATGATTGAAATTGTAATACTCTGTGCGGCACAGACATTGACTATCCACCAAATACGCCTGTGTTCTCCACAGTTCCCAGCCACCTTAGAGTCAGATGGCACGGTGGGACTGATTCTGATCTATAAACCCTGAGTGAAAGTGATGTGAGTCACAAGGAGCCAAAGCATTAAAGAGGCAGTGTGTGACCCTCCAGCTCCTCTCTTCTGCTGATCTAGACACCTGGAAATTGTGTGTTGAGATAGCAGCAATCCAAGATCAAAGTCACCTGGATTACTGAATCATCACAGAGAACACAGACGCTGTTGAAAGTTGCCTAACCTGTAAAGGACTTCGCACAGCAAGAAATAAAGTCACGTTAAGTAAAGTCACTGAGATGTCAGCGTTTGTTACTGCCACAAAACTTAGCACTATGTATACACACAGCTAAAGGGAATAAAATCCTTCTGAAGACTCATACAAAGACATATACCCACATACAGTCATGCACCGCTTAACAACGGGGATATGTTCTAAGAGATGCGTCGTTATGTGGTTTTGTCATTGTGTGAAAATCATAGAGTGTACTTAAACAAACCTAGGTGGTATAGTCTACCACACTATCTAGGCTATATGGTGCTAATCTTAAGGGACCACTGTCATATATGTGATCCATCATTGACCAAAACATTGTTATGTGGCAAATAACTGTATATGAAAGGAACTGGATGCCTGGATTAAGAGAAAAGAACTATACGGTCTCTGAAAATCTCCCCTGATAGTTACCTAAAAATTATAATTGAAAAAATATACATAAAAATATAGCCTTACTTCACAGCTTTGCCACTGGTTTGGGATACTCGGTCGAAACTTCTGGTCACAAACAACCTTCCTCATTTCCTCTATTGAGGGATCTGAAGGCACCATGTCATAATAAGGCAACTGGTACTCCTCAACAATTCCTATAAGAAATTTGCATAATAAATTTCCCAGTGTGAATAAAAACAAAGATGCTTATTTTAAACTAATACCAATTATGTCTTCTAGGTACAGGTGGCACCCGGGGAAACTGGAAAGTCAGGTTTATCAAAATTAAGAATCACTATAAAACCAAAGATATAAGTTTAAAGCACTCAGTTGAATAGTTATTATATGTTTATGAAATTTTATATTATGAAAATTTATATAATTTTGCAATTATATAAAACAAAATTATATGCAATTATTTTATATATCATTTATATAATTATTTTTATAACTTATATTTATATAACTATAAAAATATATTTTATATAATTATGTATTACATATACTTAATTTCATATGTAAATATATTACATCTATATAATTTTAAATAACTGTACAAAATAGAATTTTATATTATGAAAATTACGTAAATCTTGATTTACATAAAATGCCATTGTGCAATTCAAAAATATTGTGTAATTGCAAAATTTGTAGCATGGCCTCATTCCTCTGTGAATGAAGTATATTTCTCTATTAATTAACATTTTCAAAACAAAATAGCTTTCTCTTTTTGAAAATTGTTAGGCGATCTCTTAAAAGCTGAGTTTCTTATTTAGATTTTAGAACCAGTGCACCCGAGAATGTTCCAAAGAAGCAGCCAAAGGTATTTGAAGACAGATAGTTCAGCATGAAGGTCAAGATTTAGAGTCTCAAAGACATAGACAAAGACTTGACCTCAATTATCAGAATATCACTCGAATTTGAACATTTCCTTATAACATCATTTGAATTAACTACAGTCCTTTTAATTTAAAATATTTAAGATATGCCATAATATTAGAAAATAAACTTCAAATCATGTTAACTAAATTACTATTTCAACAGTTGAAGAAAATTGAAGGACAAAAACCTAAAAGCAAATCTAAACATATATCAATATGAAATTTTAAAAAATAATAGCAAACATGTTTGAATCTTGCTATTTAATAAGCACTGTCCTAAGCCCTTTACTTATTTTAACTAATTAGTCCTCAAAACCACTGACTAAAGAAAGTGCCATACTGTCCCTATTGTACAGAATGAGGAAACTGAGGGACAAAGTGTGTCATGCATTTGCTCAAGATCACACAGCTAGTAAGTGGCAGATCTGGAATTCAAGCCATGTTCCACACCACATAATTCTATTCTATGAATAGTTTCATCTTCCTAATGCCTTACTATCTCATCTATGAATAAAGGGGAAAAGTATGTTTTCTCATTCAAATACAATTTTAACCTTGTAAGATTTTCATTTTTTTAAAACGAGATTGATGTGGGGCTGACCCAGTGGTGTAGTGGTTAAGTTCACGTGTTCCACTTCAGCAGCCCAGGGTTTGTGAGTTCAGATCCTGGGTGCAGACCTACACCTCTCATCAAGCCATCCTGTGGGGGCAATCCACATACGAAATAGAGAAAGACTGGCAACAGATGTTAGCTCAAGGCCAAATACAAAACACAAAAACTGATAGCGATTTAATAATAACAGCTGCTATTGAAAGTTTAACCTGAGCATGCTCTGTATTAAAAACGTTACATAAATTAACTGAATTAATTCATTAAATCCTCAAAGCCCAAGGGGTTGGCTTTATTATCATCTTCATTTTACAGATGAGGAAAGTGAGACCAAGTAACTTTCCTTAAGACAGACATTCAGGAAGCTGCTGAGCCAAGGCTGAGCCCTAAGTCTGTCTCACTTGAAAGTGAAAACTCCAAACCATTTTCTACCAGTATTTAACGTTTCTCCACTGATGCAACAATTTCACCAGACTGCATTTGTAGGACTTCATCCTCTCAAACTCTTCCTCTCATTATTAATCTCTAAACTGCCGGGAGCAGTAGAGTCAGGAAGTCAGTCTGTGCTCAGCTCTGCCCTCCACTTTATCCCCCACACATTCACCATCACAGGAAAGAAAAGCCTGAGAACCAGCCTATGAACCAGGACTTCAATTCAAGTCCGGTGGCCTTGGCAAGTCATTTGACTTCTTTGGGTTTCATTTCTGGTATAAAGTAGGGAATATAGCTAACTGCATTCAAACTCAAATAAGAAAATTTTCAAGCGCTTTGCAAGGTATTGTTATGGAAACCAGAATTATCAGGAGAACTGTCACCTCACCTAAGCAGTAATCATAATATAAAATCTCCGTTATATGCAGGATGCCCCACTTTTGCCACTGGAAAGATAGTACCTAAAAGTATTTTGTTAAATATTAAGAAATGATTCAATATAGTGCTTACGAAAAAAAAAAGATAGAAAATCCTATCTTATATTCGCAGCATCAAGGAAAGGCTGACACAAAGACTGTTTCTAAATCTTACCTCCAACTGAACACCTTCGGGCTATTTCCCAGTAAACCAGACCAACAGAATAGATGTCAGCTCGTTTGAAGGACTCAAAGATATTCACATTTATTGTATCATCGAGCATTTCAGGAGCCATATACCTTCAAAAACAGGCACATTTCAGATTCTGTATAAGATTTATAGTAGTCCAGGAAAACACAATCTTAATAAATCCTGATACAAAATATAAATTAAGATAGCTTACATCAATTTAAGCCACTATAATAAAATTTAATAACATAGTTACTGACTCAACAACCATAATATAGAAAACATTTTAAATAGAGCTAGAGGTCAGCCTACTCTGTGTTAAAGTACATGCGCCAGGAGCCAAATACTTAGAAAGTACAAGCTGGAGGGAAATTCAGTAAGCAAAGAACTCAATAGGAGAGATGGAACTCAATTTCCACCAGGAGTTTGTTGCCACAGAAAGTTCCTTGAGGGCAAAGAGCAGGTTTTATTCATCATGATGGGCCCAGCACTCCAACACAGCGCTCAGCAGCATTCCCTAAATATCTTCTCTGAATGAACAATTTTATTATGCATTGGCTCCAAGAAACGTATACATATTAAATATTGGCTCCCCCAAAAATGACAGCCTTGTCTGAATAGAAGTAAATCAAAGAAATCTACAGACCATGGGACCTGAGTGAATCTAGCTGTCCTAGGGAGATTTTGAGGATTTTCCAGAATATTGAGGTGAGGACATTTCCCAGAATACTGAGGTGAGGTTGCAACCCTCTCCCAAACTCTTTTACAAATTTTAGATCCTCGGAAGGACTCTGACATCTAAGGCTTCCCTGAGGGTCTCTAAAGTGGGGACCATCAAATGGGCAAGTTAAGACTTCCCTTTTACTGGGAAAAGAAGAGGTGCCTTACAGCCACCCAGTTTGAACAAACTGTCCTGAAGCATTCCTAGGGCCTCATTAAATCCTCCCATCGAACCAAGTGAAAGACTCAGAAGGACTAGCTTGGAATCTTTTTCTTTCTCTTTTTTTTTTTGAGGAAGATTAGCCCTGAGCTAACTACTGCCAATCCTCCTCTTTTTGCTGAGGAAGACTGGCCCTGAGCTAACATCCATGCCCATCATCCTCTACTTTATACATGGGATGCCTACCACAGCATGGCTTGCCAAGCGGTGCCACATCTGCACACGGGATCCAAACCAGCGAACCCCAGGCCGCCAAAGCGGAACGTGTGCACTTAACCGCTGTGCTACCAGGCCGGCCCCTAGCTTGGAATCTTAAACAGGGCTGAGGCCAACTATACCAGCTTAGAAATTCCTCTCAAAAGCCTTTAACAACTCCAGGAAAATGTTTTGGTTGTTTTCTGATTTCAAGGTCAAGTACCCTGGAATTATGCCAAAGCAGTACAGAGCCTGAAATTCAAATAAAAAGAAATGGAAGTATGCTGGCCATATGGTCACTGGCTGGCCATAACATAAAAACACCAGAGCTCCCATTATTAATGGGCCTGTCCTGATATATGTGTAAAGGTTTGCTCTGTTTATATCATGCTTGTTCTTAACCCTCAGAGATTCTGTTCTTTGAAAGTGAGAATTGTGTGCAAACTCATATTATCTTAATACACATCAGTTTGAGAGATTCAACAATAAGCACAAGTACAGGTAAATACAAAAACTGTTATATAACATTTCTAAATATTAGAGAACACAATAGCATACATATGTATTTTATTACACAGAGTCCCTTTCTTAGTCCAATATATTGATTCTGTACCGGTTGTTTAGAACCTGAACACATAGAACGAGCCCTGAGTTTCAGTTCATTTATGAGGTATATAGGATTTGGAGGAGTTATACACTGCTGACATTCTTCTCTCTTATCTGTAGGAAAATGTATTTTCAGAACATAGCACACTAAAAAAATACATCACCGTCTCTTCCTCCATTCCTCTTCACTGGATTCCCCACTCAAATGGATACTGTCTATATGACCAAAATGCCAACTCTCCTTGCTTCACAACCATTGTGCCATTGACTTATCAACGACACAGAGAAGCCTTCTTGCTTTCTTGGGCCTAATGATTTCCCATTCGGACCTACCTGCCCCACCCCCTCTCCCCACATCCCAGGCATTCATATTTATGGGGTAGTCATAAGTCTTAGTATGCTACCAAAGTTAGTCATCTTACCTTTTGGTTCCCACTTTAGGATTCTGAGGTATGTCGATAGTGTTCAGTATTGAATCATGCTTCACAGCCAATCCTAAGTCTGCTATGGCACAAGTTTCACATTTTTTCACTAAGATATTCTTTGATTTTATATCTCGATGAGCAATAGCAGGTTTACCTATGAAACAGAAGAAAAGCACATTCTGTTTTTTGTTTGTTACTGAAGATTGACTCTCCAAAAGGAGTCATTTTGAAGACTTGGCTCAAATGTTACCTCCTAAAAAAGGTCTTCTCTCACCACCATTCCAACCCCAAGTCCTTCTCCAACAGAGTATCCCATTTTGCCTTCTTCATAGCTCTTATTACTATCTAAATTATCTTGTTCATTCACATGCATGTTTAGTTATCTGTCCCCCCCAGCTAGACTATAAGCTGCATAAAGGCAGTGACTGTGTCTTGCTCATCGCCACGCCTCCAATGCTGAGAACACTAGATGACATTTAGTAGTCACTAATAAATATTTGTTGAATGAATAAGGAAAGAATTAAGATTGCTTTGTCCACATAAGAACATGGCAAATACTCTCAGAAAACAAGTTTCAAATTTCTACTACCCTAAATCAGCAGTTCTCAAATGTGGCCCAAACATCTCCAGGGGTCCTTGAGACTATTTTCCAACCACATATCTGTGTGATATCACTTTTTCTTCACATACTTCAGCCAAAACAACAATATGGGAAACAAGTGAATAAAGAACAGACACGAAAATCCAGACATTAAAGAGATTTGAAAAATGTAAAGCAAAACCATTACCTTCACTAGATTGGGTTTTGTATTACAAAAAGCTATGTAATTTTTTTAAACTATAATATTTATGTTAACATTTACTTGGTTAATTATTTTATGTAAATTAATAAATATTTTTAAATTTCTCAATTTTAGTTTCTAATATAGTCAATATCCCAAGTATAAGTGCCAAATGACAAAGGTGGAGGCACTAGGAATAAAAATATTATTATGGGTAATATACCAAATGAGGAGTATGTAGATGAGAGTTGGCTGTATCACGGCAAAATCTTCAGCTTTATAAAGTACCTTTAGCATTTCTTTACATTTGATAATTGTTTGTAATAAACTAAAATACAACTGAACACTAACATACAACCTAGTGTTTCTGTCCTCATATTCAAGGAAATTAACATTCATTAGAAATAAAAACATACCTTGTGTACCAACAATCTCCATATGAAGGTGGGCCAGACCACTAGCTATCGAAAGGGCCAGTTTGATCATTCCAGCCACTGTCACTATGTTTCTATTCAAATAGTCATATAAGGAGCCCTGTTCATGATATTCGGAGACAAGCCAAAGTTGAGTCCAAGTTCCATTATCTAACAGAAAAAATTATTTTGTTGCTATAAATATACATTGAGAAAGAAGCCAAACACTTTTAAAAATGTGTTTTTTTAAAGTAAATCTGTATTGTTAACAAGGCAAAGTGAATTCCTTCAGTGATAAAGTTTACGGTCCAAGTGAGTCAAGCAAAGATTCTCAGTGAATTCCTGACGATGCTGACATATTAGAACTTCTCAAACGCACCCATCATAGTTACAGAAAGCTGTGAGACAGTGATTCTAACTGAACAGCTCCTTTCTCACTCCCTCTACATCAATACCTGCTGGTGATAGCAACCACATTGTAGGAGAAACTACTGAGAGATGCTTTTGGGCTCAGTCTTGGATTATAAATTACTCCTGAGCTTTTAAGAAAGATTGTATCAATGAAAAACAGAAATATAACAAATTACTCAAAGTAGCACAAAAACTCTTACACTCCAAGAATGTTCATGTTATTCACCTTTCAAAATATGAAGTTGATGATTTTCCCTAAAGGTTATAGTAAGAGACAAACACAATTACCAGACATTATCAAATAACTTATCTCATTTAACCAAAAGTGGATCCAGCTTATAAAAGACTTTTAGCAGAAGAGAATTTAGCCTAAAATTTCTCTAGGTATTATAGCCCCTAGAGCTGGTTTAAGCTTTTGCGATAAGGTGTCTACAATAGCCCTGGGCAGTCCTAACCAGTTCTGACACGCAGAGAAAGGAAACCATAATAAATATTTGCTAAGGAATTTTTCTACCTAGTGCTTTATGAACAAGAACTCCTTGCTATCTAAATATTTAATTTCCAAAACTGGGTGGTGATAACATTTCCTAGCAATGCAAATCAACATAACATGATAAAGTTCACTAATAAACTCACCATATACAAAGTTAACCCTTACTCACCCCTCTCTCCCTGCTTAACATCAGTGACTACCTTTGCCCTCTCATATCAATGTTTCTGTCAGACAGTTGACTAAAGAGCGAAACTGCAAATGTTGCAAAAAGATACATAAACGCATGAAGATGAAAGCGATATTAGAGACTACTTGGAATCATGCACAAAGCCACTGACAAGTAAACCATTGGCAGAGGTAAACCGGTTGACTGAAGAAGAGAAAACCAAGGATGATCTCTCTTGTGCATACTGTTTATAATCCAACAAGTGTCATGAGTGAATTAGCCCCGCCAAGATGACCCATATAACCACAGTCGTTACTGCTTGACAACACTGCTTATTAATTTAACCAGTAAGCAGTTCAGCGCAATCTCAGGAAGGAAAAGAAAAAGTTCTTAACAGCTTAATAAGAAATATCTCATTTTCAACAGTCTGGATATATTTTCAAAGTACATATAGTTAAGAATTTGGAAAGAATCTTTTCTTTTTAAGCTCGCCTTGGCTTTAGTCTGTTTCTGTCTAGCAAATCAGAAAAGACAAGTCATCAGCACACATTATTCCGGCCAAAATGCACGATAATGCTAAGCATCTCTTTTGCCGTCTAAGTAATAATGAATACTTTCATGATCAAGCTTATATTAGACAAAAACAATCATATTTTTAATTTTCATAGGTAATGGTGGGTCCCTGATATCCATAGATGATTCGTGTTTTAGATAGAGCTTACAATCTCTGCCTCACCAAAGTTCTTTATGAGTATCACTAATTCAAACAAAAAAATAGACTGGATCAAATTTTTCTCACTTTTGTTCCGTGTTTCTCTCTAAAGGACCTAAAGTCAAATGAGTAAAAGCCATGTGAAAAGAAGAAGGAGAACATGGGATATCCACAAACTTTATATCCAGCCTCAGGTTATTCAGGCATATATACAATATTTTATGAATATGGATTTAAATATCACACGTTGATGCTGTGTCTCGCTCCATGAAACTCAAAAAGTAATACTGTTTGGGGTTGTTAATGTTAAACCTCAAGATGTAAATCAGATTCAAAGTACATTAACAGAAAATTTCACTAAAATTGTCTTGCTTGCCACCATTCTGATAATGTTCACAGAAAACTTGAGTCCAGGAGTTGAAGCCTGTTATGTAGATGGAAAGGAAAGTCCTGGCAAAGGTGACTATTCAGATAGCACTCACTCATGTGTCTACACCAGTTATTAAAATACTGAAATATTTCCATCTTGGTTGGTTAACAGCTACTATACAAAACTCCCAATGACATTCCTCTGCCCTAGACACCCAAAGCGACACCCCTCTCCCTGCCCCCAAGATGCCTCTAAATCTCTTCATGACCCACCAACTAAAGTGGTAAAACCTAACAGAGTAGGGTGCTCCCAGGACTCTGTTCCCCCTGAAGCTTCTATTCTGATTGGTTAGTTCCTATGCCATACCAATCATCAAATATTTTAAATATCAACCTGGCTATACAGCATCATCATGATTTTATATCACTCATTTGCCCTGCTTTATTGTACGGTTATGCACATTTATCTGCAGAGAAGAGAAAAGCATTTTCGTTCCTGAGTAAATGCATCAGGCTTTTACGTAGATTTTATTTAAACAAAGAGATTATTCATTCTCATCTGATAGTAGACAGAATATCTTATTTGCTGAACCCAACGAGATTGAAAATACCTTTGTTGTCGGCAGCAATGAAACCAAGGATGTTTTCATGTCTCAGCATAACCGTCTGGTAAATTTCCGCCTCGCGAAACCAAGATCTTTCATCTCTGGAAGAGAATATTTTCACAGCCACATCTTCCCCACACCATCGTCCATGCCAGACCTCACCAAATCTCCCTTTTCCTACGATCTCCTGAAGTACAATCGTCCTTGCAATTGTTCTTTGAACCAACAGAGGTAGACCTAATCAAAGAAAAGATGGCATTGATGATTAAAAACAAGTGCCAGAAAAGAACTGTCATGATGACTATTATTTTCATAGAAAAAGCAAACATTTAAGCACTTTAATAATTTTACCAATTGTGAAGAAATAAGCACCTTTATGCCAAATTTTAATGTCAGGCCATGCTCAAAAAAATACTCCAAATTCTTAATATGAATTTCTCTTCTCATATTCATAAATAAAAATTTCTTGAACACAGCCTGCTGCTGCAGATAGCTGGTTTTCCAGAATTGCTACAAGTCTCTCTGATTTGTTCATTAAAGCCAGGGAGGTTACCAAATACACAAAAGTTCAAAAAATACATGTCGTTGGCCTCTAAAATCAACTGGATGGCTCCTAGGACAACTGGGAAGGCAGAAGAATTCTTTGCGAGTTTTTTTAAAAACAAATTAAAATTGGAAAGTGAAGAATCAAACTCAGTGATCAAGTGGGGTGAACATGTTACACTAAAGGCAAGATCCAGTCATAGAAAATATCAAATAAATATTTTTTGTGGAATAAAAGAATATTCAATATATTCAAGAAAATATATTCAGGGTAGAATATTTAGATTCTTTGAGCCAATAACTTCACCTCTAGAATTCTATCCTAAAGATATAATGCAAAATGCAGAAAAATTTATGTCAAAATGTTTAGAGCCAGCCCCAGGTGCCTAGTGGTTAAATTCAGCATGTTCTGCTTTAACAGCCCAGGTTCGGTTCCTGGGCACAGACCTACACTGCTCTGTTAGCAGCCGTGCTGTGCTGGCAGCCCACATACTAAAAAAGAGAGGAAGATTGGCATGGATGTTAGCTCAGGGCAAATTTTGCTCAGCAAAAAAAAAAAAAAAAAAGAGAGGGAGAGAGAAGTTTAATATATTATTATTATTGATGGAAAAATAAAGAAAAGTGTCAGATAATAGAAAAATTGTTAAATATAATGCAGAGACTAAGAGCACAGAAAAGAAAGACCTGGGCTCAAATTTCAGTTGTGCCACATAGTAACCATAGGCAAGTTTCTGAACTTGTCTGAGCTTTAGCTTCCTTGTCTGAAAAACTGGGGATAATTATATTACCTATCTCATAGGGATACTGTGAGAATTAATAAGCTTAATATTAAAATCCTAGCACAGGATCTGGCATATTACTTACTCAGGAATGGTTAGCCCTTAATATTATGTCTTAGGACAGATTACTTAGAGCTAACAACTGCTGCCAATCTTCCTCTTTTTGTATGTGAGCCGCTGTCACAGCATGGCCACTGGCAGACGAGTGGTGTAGGTCTGCACCCAGGAACTGAACCTGGGCCACCGAAGCAGAGTGCGCCAAACTTAACCACTAGGCCACTGGAGCTGGCCCTGAAGAGGTATTTCTTAGTGACATGAGAAATTACTTTTGCTAGAATGTGAAATGAAAACATTATGGTAAATTCTATCCATCTAAATAAGTGTATCTAGCTATTCAAAATATGCTCAGGAAAAAGACTGAAAAGGAAATATGCTAAATGCCATAACAGTGACTTCTATTTAGTGGAATCAGGGTGAACTGTGATATGCTTCTTTCTAATTTTGTACATTTTCTTAATTTCCACAATGGGTATTTACTACTCTTATAATTAGAGGGAAAATAGTTAAAGGGGTCACAGTATAAATTTATTCTGGAAAGTCATGTTTAGTTACTGTCATTGCACTCAGATGGCTGGGAAACCCTCATAGCAACAGCCCTGGAAGCTCCTGCAGACTTCGGCCTCCCCTCCTGAAATGAGCCACGGTTTATGCACACGCTCTCAGCTTCATGAGAACCACCCACCATGGCTAAATAAGCGCAGACTGTAAGTTTGCTATTATGGGTCTCAACAATTAGTCACAGAGCCCCACAGCCAGAAAGTTCTCCTGAGATCATCTGGTTCAACTTTATCATCTTAGAGATGAGAAAATTAGGGCCCCAAGGTAATCAAAGATTTGCCTGGGAATATGTTGCTAGCGAGAGGCAGACCTGCAACTAAAACACTGGTCCTTAGTTCAAACTTTTGCTCTCTCATCATCCAACAGGTATGCCTGCAGTCTTCCTCTGTTGAGCAGATTTCTAGCAGCAAACCATACGGGCTATTTTTGTAGCTAGAGCCAATTTTTTTTTTAGTACTTGACCACACAATAAAAGTTGTACTAACAATTATTAGGCCAAATCGCAATATTAATCTCTCCCTCCCGCCCCCATCTTGCACACACACTCACAAAAACATCACCACCAACCACCACAACCAAACAACAACTGGCTAGTGACCTAGACAAGCCGATGTTTTCAAACCACAAATTGATCAAGCACGTGATCAATGCCACAGACCATAGACAGAAGTAAGATGACAGCATCTAAGGGACTCAGCACAGCAATTAGGTTGGGACAGTAAAAGTCAATGAAAGGTGCTTCAGGGGGCCGGCCCAGTGGCGCAGCAGTTAAGTTCGCACGTTCCACTTCTCTGCAGCCCGGGGTTCACCAGTTCGGATCCTGGGTGCGGACATGGTACAAACGCTTGGCAAGCCATGCTGTGGTAAGCGTACCACATATAAAGTAGAGGAAAATGAGCACAGATGTTAGCTCAGGGCCGGTCTTCCTCAGCAAAAAGAGGAGGACTGGCAGTAGTTAGCTCAGAGCTAATCTTCCTCAAAAAAAAAAAGAAAGGTGCTTTGGTATCTTTGAAAGCAACCTCCCCAAATAATCCAATTCTTGTGTTATACACTTAGAGCTTTCTTTTGAAGATCCATGGACTTTCCTTCCCTTTGTAGGTTCGTTTTACTCTTTTTTACAGGAGTTGTAGAAGCTGATGCCTTTCAGATGGAAAGGCACCTCTCAGCGGTGTCAGAAGTGTTATATCATGAGAGGAAAGCCGCCATCTACCCAGTTTCTGAGAAGCCACCTGAGACACAATCCACTCTCAAAGAAAGCCCAGCAAAACAGTTCACTTTCTCTCCTGCCGGCATTATGTCTCTTTGAAATTTGTCCCTGACCTGGTCATGGATAAGCTTCACAATTTCTGTTTCTCAACATCTGACAAAGCTGCCTCTCGTTTAAGGTTACTGGCTAACGAAGAGATGCCGAGGGGAAGCAGAGCTGCCTGCCTTCCTCCCCAAGGGTGAGCTGCTGTGACAGAACCCTGGCTGCAGATGGACCCATCCTCTTGGGTTCTGGATGGCAGCACAGAGTTCCTTTCAGCCAGTGGTCACTGCTAAAAATATGCAGCTGGCTTCGGGAAAAAGTGTCTAAAACCCTTTCAAATTGGTCATTAAAGAAATCCTTCATGCTTGGGTACATTTACAGCTTTCTTTTTAAGAGACAGAATAATCTAAAAAGGAGAGGGTCCAACAGTCAATAAATCCAGTTTCAGGATTAAAGATGCACCCCAAAAATTCACTTTTTCTTTTATGCCCTGGCTTAGGACTACTTTCTTAAACTAAATATCCAGTCTCCAGTTATAAAATCTCTATTCCTTTTATTGGAAAGGGAAATCCTTGGTCATCTCAAACATATTCAAGAAGTAGCTCCCAAATCCACATTTCTACCTGACATCTTCAGACGAACCGCCACGCTTTGGTGGGGATTAAATAGATGACTATTTAGCCACTCGAAACTTTTAAAGAAATTACGTGAGGTTTCAAGGAACTTGGCACAAATCAGAGCTCTCTGTGCCCACAACGTTGCCAGTGCTCAAGAAATAGGGCACAGCAGGCCTCAAAATGTAATGCTAGAGGAAAGAGTGTTGAGTCCTACGAAGTTGTAGTTTTAAATAAAGAACACTAACATTACATCCAATAATCTAATTTGGATTTCAGTTTTATAAACTTGGCAGTTTGGAGATAGTCTCCCGAATATTCCTCCTCTGAAAACGTGCCACCTAATTTGTGCAATGGTGGTGTAACCATTGAAACTGGTCAGTGACAGTGGAGGCGACCTTGCTCCTAGAAGCAGCAGTCTGAGCTCCCCGGATGACGTAGTTAGGCTTCTCTTTTCCGAGGAATACTTGTCTGTCCAAAGCTGCTCCATGTTAAATTTGATGTTCATATAGATGCTATCATCCCTCTGTCATCTGCCCCCGTTAACTGTGCCTGCCTGGAGGCTCCTAAAGGCCATGGGCAAGGGAGTTCCTCAAAATCTGTTTCGGGTAATCATCCTTAGTGATCTTTCCAAAGCAAGAGGCGATGCAGGAGCTTCTGAAGTGGCTCTCCTAGGCTTACCCTAGTTCTTATTTCTGCAACACCACGTGCTGACAGGGTTTCTGGAAATATATATGAGACCAGGGTTCCTCTCTGCCATTTCAGAGAGTTTGCTATTACAAAGGAAACTCTCCTCTGTCACCAGAAACCCAAAAAGCCCACAGATGCTTTGTGATGTGAGAAACGCTCATTTAGGCCATAATACAGCCTGGTACTTTGAATTGCTTCACCAGGGATTCTGGAGTTCCATTAAAGAGGAAAAGAGTGCTATGTAACCTTAGCAGCAAAAGCCAGCACAGGAACGCTGTGCGCTTCCCTTTCATCTTCCATTGCTATGCTTTAAGAACACATTCTTGATTTTAATTTCGGGTCAGCTCCCTGTTAACTTCACACACACATCCCAGGGGATGCCTACAGATTCTGAAGACCTTCATAACCACAAGCAAAGGGGCTGTAAGAACACTACTTTGCATGACTAACATCTTTTCCCCAAGACTCAACTGCTTATATAAAGTAACTCTTTTGAACCCATGAAACATTACCAAGAGAGCAACAATGATTATTACTAACTATGATGGGGGAGAGGGGAGAAAAGAGAAACTCTTTCTTGCTTCAAAAATAAATTCTGAAGTCATGTGAAAATGACAGTCTGAATGCCTAAAACATAAAAGGCAATTGAGAAGACTTCTTCAGGCCATGACAGTGTTTTCTCTTCATCAAATCCTAAAAGAAGTTTCTATATCAGAATTTACCATGTACCATATCAAGCATTTTAAACAGTAGAATTCATAATATTTGGGCCCTTTTTTGTTAAAAGTTGTTTTTATTTATTTTTAAATAAGTTTTCTTACTGAAAAATGGACAATGGGCACATACCAGAGCCAGATCCAGAGGCGGTCACATCGTAAATCAGATCTTTTAGAGTTTTTCCAGCATTTACCAGATTGCACTCAGAGAGGGGCTCCTCCACATTCTGTCTCTTTTTCTTTCTGTATGTACACTGTCGGCCTTGGCAGACCCATACTGTCAGCACTGCAGCTATGGACAGGAGGCAAACTGGCACAGTAACAACAATGGTCAGCTCCAAGGGTCCGAGTTTTGGGGCATTTGGTGATGCTTTAATTAAAAAGAGAAAGAACATGACCATAAATCAACCCATTTCAAATATTTTAGAAATTGGAAATGCAATCGCCCAAATTTCACATCTATAACGTGCAGCTACACTGTATGCACTTATGTCAGTTGGTAAAGACTCTGTGCTATAAGCAAAGATGGGGAAAGGGATTGAGGTTAGGGCGTAGCTAGGAATAATTATGCCAGGCGACAACACGAGACAGAATTAGGAACTTGGAAAGCACTAGCATACAGAATCCTTTTTAAAACCTCCAAACCATCTGAGATTTTTCTCCCACTCTCTCCCCATTTTTCAGCTGTCCATCCTTAGAGTACATTCATTCATTCATGCCACAAATAATTCCTGAGTTCTGGCAATATGTTGCCAGCACTATTCGAGGCACTGGACATATAGTGGTGAGTGAGAGAGCCCAAATCCTTGCTCTTGTGATGCTTATGTTCTCATACACCCATTAAAAAGATGGCTATGCAATACAAACGCAAGGGATGGTAAGTGCTATGAAGAAAATGAAGCCAAGGAAACAGAGTGACAGCGAGATGCTACTTTCCATCGACTGGTCATGGGAGGCCACTCCGGGGAGGCACCAGGGAGCAACAACAGAAGTCTCTCAGGGAAACAAGGGTGAGGTGCCCTAGGTGTGGACCTGTTTAGCGTGTTCGAGAACAACCTGTGCCCAGACCACAGTAAACTCGGAGAAGATAGAAGGAAATGGGGTCAGGGAGGTAAAAAAGAGAAAGATCATGTGGGGTCTGGTAGGCTAAAAGGAGGACTGTGAATTTTATTCTAAGTAGAAGCTGTTGCAGGGTTTTCAGCAGGCAAAAGATAAGATCTAACTTATATTCTGAGCGGCTGCTGTGTGAATAGACACACGTAACACAAGCTTACGAGTGAAGAGACCAATTAGAAACTGAATGCAATGATCCAGGTGAGACATGATGGTGTGGGGTGACAACTCTCTAAAATAGCACTCCCTTCTCATTCTCCATTCACTCTCTGTACCCTTTTCCTGTTTTATTTTAATTCCTGGATCTTATCACCACCTGGCACATCATATATTCATTTATTTATTATCTGATTCCCTCCCAAGAACATATGCTTCGTGAGCGGAAGAACTTGGCCTGCTTTGTTCCCAAATATATGCGCCGTGTTTACAATGGTAGTTCTTGAATGGGAGAATCACTAAAGGTTCTACTGGTTTTATGTTTAATAAGTAAGGGATAAGACATTTAGTTTCAGAAAAATAAATATGATCACTGAAACCAAATAACATAAGGATATAATTAAACTTGTGACTCTAATTTTAAAACACATATAGCCAGATTTTTTTTTTAAGTTGACCTTGCATGTAAGAAATCTTTTTAATTTAGAACAAAAGGGGATACAAGAAAAACCTGTGATGACAGATACTTCCTGTGTTTTTCAAAGAAATTATTTTGACACTTGAAGTGAGCACGTAGTTCATTTTCTTTTCATTCACTAAAGACAGCCTCAGCATCAATTTAATTTTATCCCTAAGTCCTGCCATCAAGGATGTTGATTTTTAGTTTTGATAAACCTTGGGGTGTATTTGATAGAATATTGGAATAGAATTCTGAAGTCTTAGGTTCTCAAACACCAAGGAGAAGGAGAAGAAAGCAGGCTTTGGAGAGAGAGGTCTGCTTCCAAGCGTGGGCTGCCACTTTCTCACTATGTGGCTATTGTGCCGTGGGACAACTGCACACCCTCCGGCCCGCTGACTCTGCACAGGCACGGTGAGAGTTAGAGACAATGCATGGGAATCAACAGCATAATGCCTGCACCTGAGAGTCTACACTCATGACAACGACAATGGCCCTTGTGAATCAGCCATTCCTCAGACTTCCTAGAGAGTTTATTATAGTAAATCTATTTACATATTACTTACAATGTGTCAACCAGAATACATATGATTTGAAAACAAATATTATTTAATTCTAAAGGAAAAAGAATCAAATTCCTCAAAAAATGTGTTCATAGAAGTTTCACTATAATCCTAAAAATAGTAGTCTATCTACTACCAATGAGTAAAAGATTTAAAAGTGTTGAGTGAACCTTGGAAACAAACACAATCCACACTCTTGCACTTCGCCTGGTGACTTCTGGCAGATCACCGGCTTTCCTCCTCCTGAGTGTTTTATACTCCTCTGAAAGCATTAGACGTCGCACGGGTGCATCTGAGGACAGCTTGGGCTTGAGAGTTCTTACAAGAAGGAGATAAAAGCTCCTGGACTTGACTTTGCTTGAGAAATCATTAACCATGGCACCTGCAACTTGTAACGTTTGCTGTTATAAAAGAGCTTCATTACCCATTTGACAATGAACTTTCAAATCGACATTTCAAGTTGTATTCATATTTTCATGGCCTCACAAAGGTATTCTAGGAATGCAAAGAAAGCCCACAATGCACTTAATTACTTGCAACTTACATAAACATCTATTTAAATCTGTTTTTAAAAATAAAATTCCACTATCGGATACATTTATATGGCTAAATTTTATTTTGAAATACATTATCAGGAACTATCAATATCAACATTACAGTTAAAAGCTTATTGATTATCTTCATTTTGGTAAAGCTCTATTAAGCAGAGCTCTGATCATCACTATGGCAACCCATAAAGAGGCAAAAGGTCAGTAAGCCTGAAAACAGAATAATATTTATAAAAGTACACTGCTCTGGTGAAGGCTGCTGCACTCAGGGATGTTTATTACAGATGGGCAATGTTTCTACTTTTGTGAACAAATTTACTGATATGAGTTAGTAAGAAAAAAAGATTACTCAGCTAGAAAAAGGCTAGCGACATCATCCAGAAAGAGCTCCTTAAACACTGAGCAATTTTCAAAGCAAACATTTGTAACACTATCTTCGAAACCAAATGTTGATTGTAATTTCTACAGGAGATAAATGAAAAACTGTAATGTACACCCAATGAGTCATGATAGAAGGAGACAGTAGTGCAGTTAAGAATACATTTTAATAAGTTACCTTTGATGACATATTAATTTTTCTGGCAGGTTTTACATTCTTGATCATAGAACTCTTATTTTTTGATAGTTTCCAGTTTTTGAGATTGTCTGTGTCAATTGAGATGCGTTCTCCATGGAATAAGCAGCTTCATGGGGGGATATGTTAATCCCAAGTGCGGTCTGGGAAGTGCTGCACTGCTAATTCAAGTTATTTCACTCCCTAGTGAATTAAATAGAAGAGAATGGGGAAAAAGAGAGAAAAGTGCTAGGCCAGATGGGTGAGAGCAGAGCTCACAAATCTCTCCCCTGTATAAGTTATAATACATTAAACCAAGACAACACAGGGGAAGGAAGTATTTACAAGGCAGGGAGAAGGGAGCATCGACTTGAATGAGGTGGAAGATTCTGTACAGCTGAAGACATCATGTGAACGGCAAAAGAATTTAAGAAGATAAAATTTTTTTTTAAAAAAAGGAAAAACAGAAAAGGAAAAAGGAAGGAAAGAAGAAAGAAGGAAAAAAGTTTTTTACCTGTAAAAATACCTTTATTAAAATGGCATCAATATATGCTTGGCTATAACTTCTTCCTGGCTCCAACACATATTGGTTTATATCTCCAAAATTTTTTTATTGAAGTGTAAGTGACATACAATATCCTATTAGTTTCACAAGTACATCACAGTGATTTGGTATTTATATAACTACAAAAGGATCACTATGATAAGTCTAGTTACCATCTGTCACTACACTGTTACTACAATATTATTGACTATATTCCCTATGCTGTCCATTACATCCCCATGACTTATTTATTTTATAATTGGAAGTCTGTACCTCTTAATCCTCTTCATCTATTTCGCTCACCCTCCAATGCCTCCCTGCTCTGGCAACCACCAGCTTGTTCTCTGTATCCATGAGTCTGTTTCTGTTTTGTTTTCTTTTGTCTGCTCGTCTGTTTTGTTTTTTAGATTTCATGCGTAAGTGAAATCCTATGGTATTTGCCTTTCTCTGTCTGACTTACTTCACTTAGCATAATACCTTCTAGATCTACCCATGTTGTTGCAAATGACAGTATTTATTTTTGTGAATTTTGCAAGTTTCCCTAGAGACGCGAGGGGAACTGGTGATGGTAAAAGGCGATGGTGGTTGACACTGCCCAAATAAAGTCCAGAACCAGTTTAGATGCCTCCACTTCTCCCAGGACAGTTCACTGCTCCCATTACCTCCTTGCCACTTCCTATTTCTGGCTTTAGGGAGGCAAACTCCTCAAGACGAAAAGAAAAAGATGAGAAAATGTGGGCATGATCCCCATCTTTCCACCCCTGCTGACCTCTTCTCTTTCTTTCCTAAAAGTCTGAAAAATTATTGACGTGTATGAGATTTATTTGACCTTCAAATTAATTTAACTTACATTTCCTTAGTAAACGCTATTAGGAGGAGAAGCCTTGGAACTACGTGGAGATACAGACTTGACCAACTGCTTCAAATAACTCGTACTGACACTAACATAAAAGTCTTGTAGTAGTATATCTACATTCAACTTACAGGCACATTTCTTCTCTATATTTGAATGACATTCAACTGACGAGAAACTAAGATATGACTATGGAGCGATGTATGGAACCTCTTTGAGGATAGAGTGACTGAAGAGACATATATCGGCTGGACAGCTGTTTAAAAACAAATTCAGATAAAGAACACAGAGGTCTTCATCCAGACAAAGCACATTTTAATGAAACATTTCAAGGTTAGCGCTTCCTTCCCAAAAGCTGCTGGAACAAGCAGCTAGCGAAATTTAAAAGGATCAGAACATCCCTAAAGAAACCACAGACTGATTTAGCATTAAAACCACTCCTCTTCCTTTCATGAAAGATTTTCCTCAAGTGAAAAGATACCATTTGGCAAGGCTGAATCCATGAATGTATAAATATCAAGTCTCCAACTGCCTCCTCACCCCACCCCCAAAAAAGGGGAAGCATTTCTTTCTCCAGTTTCTG